TAGCAAACAGCCAAGCCCGAACAGTTTGATCAAGCTTTAACCAATGATAATATTCAGGATTCATTGTAGTAGCCTGATATAAATCATAGGTATAAAGCGAAGGAGCCGAAGAAGATCCATCAATGATTCCCAAGAGACCATTCGCAACCAAAAAAGATTCAAATTGTGTGCGCCATGGTAGGTAATCCTCAACCGCCAATAATTTAGTGGTGACAATTTGAGTAACAGACGAGCAAAAATCATTCCTTGAGTCAAAGAGGCAAACGACGTGGGAATGGCCGAGGCAGGAGGTCGGGTGCCTACGGGCTCGTGAGCGGGAGGATGTTGAAGGCCTGGGTGGCCGGTGAAGGTGGAACCGCCGAAGCACGCACGGCCGGTGGCGGCGCTGCTGGACTCACCGTGAGAGTACCCGGAGAACAGTGGAAGCGGCCGGATCGAAGGTGGGGTCGGCGTCCAAGTGAACAGCGGCGGGACCCAGGTAGACTGTAGCGGCGAGATCGACACGTCGGGGTGGACGAGTTCGGACTGCAGCCGCACTAGAGGAGGGACAGCCTGTGTTGCTGCGCTCAAAACCGGAGCTTCGGATGCAAATTCCATCGCGGCGGTGGTGGCGGAGGCCGAAGTGGCGGCGGCGGCGGCAGACGTAGATGAAATAGTCATCGAAAAAAAATTGTGTCTAAAACCCTAGTGCTCTTGATACCATGTGAAAATAATGGAAAGGCATACCCAATGTGGTAGCCTAGATGTCATATATATAATAATAAGAGTTCTGAGTACATTAGGAAACTAAATAAATATGGAAAGCTAATTAAAGTATTAATTACACTATTAAGAGATGACTAGTCAACACGGTCAACTCGGACAGCCACATCAACACATTTGGAAAGTCAAACTTCCAATCAACACCCGCAAGATCCTAAGAAGCAGAGATGAGGACCGAGCGACCGACGCATGCATTCAGTCCATAGCCAGAAATGATGGGAAGAGTCCCGGCCCGACGGCCCTTTTAGTCGCCGGAGACGTACCCTGCCAGTGGAGGTCAACCGCCTCAACAATCGCTGGAGATGATTCAAGTCAAAGAAAAAATACATCCGCCGCAGAGCCTGATCAGGGTTCAAAGCTTAAAATTTAACTAGTAGGTTTTTTACTACTTAAAAATATTTATACATAAATATCTATCATAATTTAATAGGGCGAGGGTCGAGGCCCTTTCCGGCCTCTCCCTGTCTCCACCAGCCTCTTCTTGTCGCCACCCTTGCCAGAGACTTCTGTTCGCATCGGACCGATTGAGGAGCTGAAACGAAGACCGCGGAACGTCACGGCCTTGCCCGATCGCTGAAGAAGATGACTCGGCTTCTCTTGCTACATATGAAGGACCGGACAAAGGTCTGCATTGGAGAAGATGAATGGGCTACTCCTGATCGATCTGAATTTGTGGGATTAAAATGGGTTAGGGATTGTTTGGAGCTGATTCAAATGATTGAAATGTTGGGAATCTAGTGTTGAAATTTATTGCTTTGAAATGTGTTTGTGAAAATGTTTCAAAAAATTAAACTAATACATTTTTGAGAAATTATGTTTTTAATTGTTTGGCGAATATTACGATGAGAATCAGATGTTCGTTTTCCCTTTTCATTCACACCTAGGCTCGACCATGGGAGTCACAAGCCTAGAGGCTCTATTGTTTTAGATTACTTTTATTGGCGTTGATAGGTTATTTCACACCACGATAGTTACCAAGATCGTTTATTGACCGATCCTATGATCAAGAGTGAGGTGGAATAAAGCTCTAATGCTATTGCATCCAGACTTTTAATTTGATTGTGATGTTAGTTGCTAACATACCCCCAATTACACCCCGTTTACATTTTATTTCATAATTTGTGACTTATTTAGCATCAGTTTTGATCATGTTTGCATTGGAGTTTCGTTTACTCCTTTTAGTGCCACATTTTTCTATTAAAACATTACGCTCACTTAAATGATATCCCTATGATTTTACAAACCACATCCCTCTTACATTACACATTTTACCTTCCCTTGGGTTCACGTTTACGTTTGGTGTTCCTTCTTTTTAATTGATTTGAGACTCACACTCTACCACATATTACCTATATATCACATTATAGGCGCGTTCCATTCATATCAAATTTAAAAACATAATTAATATCACATCAAATTTATTTACATGATAATACTATGTATAAGTTTTGTATTGTAAAATTGATGTGAGCTTGGATATACCATGACACTTATTTAAATTTATTTTATTTAGTGTTGAATCATTTTTAATTTCACATCCGAAATTAAGTTTTAGTATATTTTAATTATGCATTTATTATTATTTGAATATCTGAAATTATAATGGTTTTATTATATTTTATAATTATTTGAGTACGAAGTAATATATTTTTCAAGAAACGAGTAATACATGAAATAAGTTTGTACATTCAAGAATCTAACATGTGCATACCTAAAATATTCCTAAGGGAGAAATTGTCTCAAATGAATGAGCTAGCTTATCGGTGTAGAGCTTGTGATGCATATTTTAAGTCACGGGTTCAGTTCACCTAACAATACTTTTTTAAAACATTTTTTCGTACACCTAAATTAGATGATATGGAAGAGCTAATGGATGACGTGAAATATGTGACGTGACTATTTTGTTGATATGACGGCTGACATTGCAAGAGTAACCTTATTTGAGAAATAAGTTTAAAACTATCTCTAAATTTTTTTTTACTACTACACACATCTCACCGTGACTAAAATTCAAATAAAGTCCGAGGACATACTGTTCCATAGTACTACGTATCTTCTTTCCGGTTGTGGAAACCACTTTATATAGAAGTAAGTACTACGCTAAAACACAAACATGAATTGAAGTCAATTTCTTCTAAGATCTAGAATTATCAAGCTTTCTCATAGTTGAAATCGAGCCAATGAAAGAGCAAAAGTAAAAAAAAATGTACGACAATGGATTAAAAAATCACCAAATATTAATCAAATCAAACTAGACCAACATAAATATAGACCAGACCCGACCAATTCAAAAACTTTTGTCCACTTAATTAAAACCATCTCTCAATAAGTACAAATCTATTTGAATATTTGAAATTAAAACTTACCATTCTTACTTTAAACAACCCTCATCTTTTTTTTTGTATTTATTAGTGTGTAAACTTTCTAGTTAGTTGAAGAAAGAACTGAAATAACCGAAATGAAAACCCATATGCCAAATTCTTTGGATTGAAATACCCGACCCGTAATGTTGGGCAATCATGTTTGACCTTCCTAAGTTCTAACTTCATCCCCACCCATGATCATGATTGACCCCATGCTCATCATCACAATCATCTTGATTCACAACTAAAATATCTCCATTCACTGAATTGGTTCAGCATGCATGCATGAAGGTTCCTTGATTTTACTAGTATTTTATATTTCAATCTCTGGTTATGGTCGGATTAGGATTTGATAGCTTTGTTCGGAAGGGAATAACGACCAAACGAAAATAATAATACTCCGCATAAAAAAAATCCCACATGTGATACTTTATCCAATTAATCCATTTAATACTATCCAAAAAATCCCACAAATACGAGCTAAGCTCAGACTGCTCACTTAACGAACATTATCATTTAGACTTCAATTCATCTTAATTACGAATTTGGCCTTCTTTACGGCATCCTCATTCATGAGTTTATTTGAAGATCAATTGGATGATGTGTACGATTATTTTAATGATTACTATTGTGAGTGAGAGATTATTTAATGAGATTATTGAAAAAGAAAATCTGGTATCAAGATTCCAATCCCGGATTATTTTAGATTGTAGTTAAATTACATTTAATGAATGTCTGGAAAAAATTGATTATTTGAGTATTATTGTTGATGAAGATTTTTAAACTTTGAGATTATTTAAAATTTATTAAATAAGCGTGATGTGGCAATGATGTGTAATAAAAAAATCGTTTATTTAGAGAGCATGAATGGAGATGCTCTTATTATTTAGGATTAATCCATATATACTACTCCAATTTAGGATGTTTTACTTGGATTATTTTCAATTCAACATCAACATCAGACCAAATTTAAAAAGAGATCAAACTTAAACAGATTAAACTAGAGTCTTCAGACTTCAACAGTTATAAAATACACTAGACATCAATCATGAAAAACAAGAGGTTTGATGTACTTTTAAATAAAATGAGGTTTTTTTGAGTTATTATTTCATATACAGAATAAACTGCAATTGTTTATATGTATAATTTAGCAAGTTAAGCCATCAGTATCACAATTTCATCGGTTTAATCACGTCTATAATGCTTTCATTTTCACATTGTTTTATCTGAACTGGTGTATGTTCAGATCTGCACAAGTTAAGTATGGTTTAATTTGGTAAAGATCTGCCATATGTATACTTTATTTATTACTATGTATAAGTTAAGTTTGATTTACTGCGACTTATTTAAGTGTTATCCGGGTTATTTTGAAACCGAAATAAATAAATTTTCATAATCATTTTACAATTTCATTACTTTTTTTATTATCAAACACATAGTATATTATTTCATGCACTTAATTGTATATTAATCAAAATAAGTATGGTTAAGTTACTTTATTTGGTTCTGGCTGAAGTTACTATAAATACCAATTTTAGCTATTTTCATATATCTTTTCTTTATTTTATTAATAAAATATATTTTAAATATAATTTTCCATAATTCGACAGATTCAAACTCTTTAAGAAGAATTTTATCGTAATTCCCTCTCAACCTTTGACAATCCTAGCGACTGTCTCCCTCTATGTAGGGGTTGAGATTTTCTACCGCCCCTGTCAATATGAGACTGAAGCGGCATATTATACTGATTTTAAGTGTTATAACGCTTGGAATTGCAACTACGTCGGAAGAGATAGCGTTGGCGGATGAACGAGTTGCGTCTGGGAGTTTGTATTGATGGTGGATCGTGAAGCCATGGTCGGCTGCTCCAACGGTGGTGGAGTTGGTATTCACCCATATTGCAAGAGCTCGTCCCCCTTCGGAATCACCTCCATAACAAGAAGAGGTATGTGGAAAGATTTTGTTTCAATATTATTTTCTCTTTAGTAGTACTTGTTTCTGTTTTAGTGCGAGTAGATTTAGTTTGAATGTTTCGACTTTTGGAGTTCTTTTGATAGACAGGGCTTCAAATCCGTTAATTTTAGGCTTAAATTTGTCCGTTTCAGGTTTAGAGAATCAGATTGCTTTGAATGAGGTGTCTAATTTTAAGTCTACTCCTAGGATTCAGATTGGATTTTGCATGCGTTAAGGTGGCTGCTTTGAATGAGGTAGCTGCTTTGAATGAGGTGGCTGAAGGTTATCTTGTATGAGTTCTTATTTTTAATATGCTAAAGGGTCAAATAGGCTCTTGAACTGACTTAAAGTGTTCAATTAGCCCCTTATATAGGAGGTTTTGCCCGGCCGTCGCCAATTGGGACGGTTCTCGGTGGAATTTTTTGATGAAATTTTTTCAGCATCTTCTTCATTAAGTCTAGTCTACTCATACCATATTTCAGCTAAAAAATCAACCGGGAAGGCAGTCAAATGATTTTTTGAAAATAACTGCGAAGTTAAACAGTGTAGTACATTTCGGAAAATCATTTGACTGCCTTCCCGGTTGAATTTTTAGCTGAAATTTGGTATGGGTAAACTAGACTTAATGAAGAAGATGCTCAAAAAATTTCATCAAAAAATTCCACCGGGAACCATCCCAATTAGAGACGGCCGGGCAGAACCTCTTATATAAGGGGCTAATTGAACACTTTAAGTCAGTTCAATGGTCTATTTGACCCTTTAACCTTTTTAATATAAGACCTCTTTTATGATCAAAAGATTTTTTTATCAAATTGAACAAATTTAACCGATTCAATCATTTGTTATCAAATGAGCTTGCAATCTTCTTACTACTCCACAATGCAGTGTCCCTTTGATAACCCATTTTTTATAAACGAAGTTTTTATTATCAGACATTAACCGCCCATTAATTACACTTTGCAAGTTGAATTGATGAATCAATGTATGTATAACTATACCATGAATCCTTATACGAAGTACTATGTAAGAATGAAAATACTTTTCTGATCGACCGACTCTGTTGAGTTGACTTTAATGTCATTAAAGGGCACATCATAACGTTTGATGGAGTAATTAGTCCAAAATTTATTTAAAGCGTTGATATGTCCCTAATTGACGTGTTTTCCTCTCATGTAGATGGATCCTTATGTTTTTTGTTAAGATTGGTCTTAAGCTTCAAAAAAATATACTTCATCCGTCCCGCTATTAACTTCCTACTTTGACCTACACACATATTTAGGAAATAAATTTGACTTTACTGTTTAGACACTGTTTGACACTGTTTAGACACTGTTTGGCACTGTTTAGACAGCACTGTTTGGCACTGTTTTGCACTGTTTGACACTGTTTTAATGTAGGATAACTTTCCATTTAGGGAAATGAGAAGATGATTTTAGGACGACCCAAAAAGAAAAGCAGGAAGTTAATAGCGAGACGGAGGGAGTAATAATTACAAATAATAATCAATTCAATATATCGTACTCGTATAATAATGACAAAAACTGAAAAACTTATTTGGACTTGAATAATTGAATTGCAATCTTATGTTTATATGCTAGTGTTCACATATACTACGTATTACTTTATGTACAAAACACACAATATTTTTTTATGTGAAAGATTAGAAACAATATCACTATTTTGATGCATGATATGTTTTGTTGAATGCATAGGCTCACAACGACAATACGATCCGCAAATGGAATTGAACTTAAAAATTTCAACTTGTCAATCGATCTTTTCAAAACAATTTCATATTATCATATATTCATAATTTGAAGTCCTCAAATCATATAGCACTTTATAAACTAATAATGTGATATACGGAGTATTTAGATTTTCATACATCTTGAAGTTGATATAAACATTTGAAACTATATATCATGATGAAAAGAATTTCTACTACTTATTTTTATGAGACATATATACGTATTTTCATTTTAGATAATTAACATTTTGTTATGAAATTACCAGTTCTTACCACCTTTGATTTTGGTGGATTAATTTTTGAGATAAAAAAATGAGAAAATTGTTGTTAGTAAGACTAAATCATACATCCAAGATTATGACTTAGTTAAGTTTTTTCATCCGTAAGCTTGATTTAGTTCTATTTTAGAAAATTTAATTTTTAGTTTCCCTTTTTACCCTCTGTTTAAAGACGGATAACTTGTCTGGGCAACAATCGATCTCTTCCGACTTTTTCTTCTTTTTTTGTTCTTCGTATGTGTACTCACCCAAGCTCAAGATCTTCTTTTTAATCATTCGTGCTCACTTCTCGTGCTCACTTCTCTAATTCTTCATCAGCTCTTCTAGCTCTCTTGCCCAACATGTTCATGCCCAACGTTCATGGTTTTCTTTTTTAACCCTCTGTTTAATTTGGCCGAACAACTCAGGAATCTCCACTTGGCTATATACGCTGGTTGAGTTCACTACTGTGCATATATTTTTATGTATTTATTTGAACAATTATATTTGGTTGCAATTCAGTACAGTCGTACAGACCGCCTTGTATGTGTAGTTATGTTATTTTTTTATTCTATACTCTGTTATTTTTTTATTCAGCAATCTAGTTAATGTGGTGTTATTTAGTGTTTCATCGAACTTCATGCGTTGTGCACATCTTCTGAACTTTTTGGTAAGTTTTATTACATATTTTTCCTAAAAATTTGTTGTTGTTTGATGCTTTCACGTATAAACAAATTTCGTTTATATATTGTGTATAACATTTGTCATCTTCAAGTTTGAATTCTCATTCTGACCTTGAAATTGTAGTTCAAAGCGTTTATCTTATCTGTTTTTAGTTTTCAATTTCGATTTAGGTGTTTTTACTTCATATAGTTCTTTGATCATCTTATGGTGATCCAGATACAACCGATTGTAGTCCAAGAACTTGCTAAAATGGAGGGTTCAACTGATGCAGATAAAGAGTTTGAAGAAATCGTGAACCAGAAACTAGTGCAGCCCACAAAAAACTGGACCAGTCTATTTCAGAATAAGAGGGATATTACTCAGGGTATGCAACTAGTGTATTTCCCACCCTCTCGGGGTGATGTTTTACTCATGGAAGAAGAAGATATAACACCATTTGTTCAAATCTGGAGATACTATCTTGTGAGATGTCTTACTGGAAACTTCCCTGGTCTTAAAGTTGTTGTCACTTTGGTATCGTCGTGGGGAGTCCCTTGTATTTGCAGAAATTATATCTCGGTTCGTAGTTCTTAGTTTGATAATATTCTATTGATTCTAATTTGTATTTCCTAGAATAACATTTATAAGGCCTATACTTTCTTCTTTTGCTATTCTTAGCCGCTACGGTTTGTTGGAATTGGAATTTATGTTATTTGTCATGGTTTTTGGCGTTTCACTTGATGTACTTTTGAACAAGATATCAATTCAATACAAAAGTCTTGCATATTGTTTTCCTTGATAATCATTGTGATTGAGCTATCCAAATAAGAAGATAATTTCATCATTCAAAATATCTAGTTAACTCTGTATATATAGTGTTTTTAGATATCTGCTCTGGTATTATAATATTTTAAGGACTTATCATCTATTTACTGGCTACATAATGTCTTGTTACTGTCTGTTGTTATTCCAATTTGATTTTGTTCATGCACGACGTCTCATTTTTGTTTGTTGTTATTCCAAAATTGATTGTATTCATACAACAGATATAATTACGGATGTAATCAAACACTGATGTGCAAATTCATCTAGAAAATTGTATGTTTAGAATGATATTTTTCGTTATTCTACTATTTCCAGACTCTACATTTACTTTGTAATTACTTTTGATGTATGTTGTGTCTGTTGTTTTAGGTTAAGTCTGCTACTTTGCAAGTTTTATTGTTAATCTAAAAGACAAAAACATGCTCTTGTTGGGAGTTTCAATTGGATCCGCTCTTATGTGTTCATGGTGTTGCAACTGTGGATCAATGTCGCATACAAGATTTTGCATTTGAAAAGATTGAAACAAGGGGGACATAAGTTGTTAAAATCCATTGAAAAAATTGAATTGTCAAATAAAAGAAAAATGATTAGCTTTTGTACTTTTAGAGATTTGACAAATGTAGCTACTTGCATATCCAATCATAATATTAAGAAAAGTGATTTCCAAATTATTAAATTTATTCATAAAAGGGGTTCTAAGAATTAATAATTATAACAAGGGAGACTTTGGCGCATTTTTTAAATCATAGGGGCCAATGCGCTGCATTTCTATATCAAGAGGGGGTTTGACACATTAAACCCTTTACAACAAAAATAAAATCAGAGTCAATTGAAACCATGCATTATCCATGTTTAACTATAAATATGTAATAACGGTCAATCTTTAAAAATGTTGACTTACAGATATACTCCCCCAAGAGTTTAAAGTTAAGAAATTACCCTTAATGGGAGTTAAACATATGGAAAGTGCATTAATAGGAGTTCTTTAGCTAATTTCTCCAAATAGGAGTTGTTGTCTACCGCCATACGCTATTTTTTTATTTTCTTCCTTAAATGCCCTTACTTTACACGGAAGCATTGCCACATAAGTAACCTGTTTCTAACCGTTTCTTCCGGTTGGAGATTTCTTGCGCAACTTTCAATATTTCTTTCCTTATTTCGTTCTTCCGTCTGCGATTAACATTCTTAAGCATCGTCTCTGTTCTTTCCTCTCTTCCGACTTGTCATTGCTTCTGATTTTGCGAATTTAGTTGTTTTCATTCGCATTACGCATACTTGTGCCCTGTGTTTTCCGCAGGTAAGCTTACTGCTTGATTTTCTGGAATATTGATTACATCTTTCTTCGAATGTTCTTCTAATATTCCTGAATGCTGATGATATGTAATTGTGCATATATGTGTTTCGCAAATGAATTCTGATAGTTTCAGTTTAGTTTTAAGGAAAAATTGATAGTAATAATCCCAACTATTGATGCTCCGCCCATAATAATCCCAACAATTGATTATTTCAGAATAATCCCAACTTTAGGGACCTTCCGCCAATAATGGTCCCTATAAATAAATTCTCGTAGTTTCTAAAGTGGATGAGAAGAGATATAACAAGTAATCCCTATAAATAATCCCAACTTTTAATTTTACGCTTAATTTCTATTTAAAACTCACTTTTTATAGGAGGTAATGTTTGGTTATGGACCATTATTGGCGGATGGTCCATATAGTTGGGATTATACAAAAATAATCAATAGTTGGGATTATTATTAGCGGACCAACAATAGTTGGGATTATTATTTTCAATTTTTAATGTAATTCGCATTTGTTTTATGATTTTTTTGGTTTGTAAATTTCTTGTGTAAGAATTTTGATTTTTGTTGTTCAATTGGTGATTTACATTGTGATTTGATGTTGTTTGATTATCGTTTTTAATATTTCCATTACTTCATTTGTTTTGTGTCATTGTTAGCTACTCTTTGGTGGGCATTAAATGTCATAATAACAGTTTTACTGTACTGATTCATGTATTATGTAGTCTTGCTGAACTTTTCATTGTTTTTAGGCATTAATTTCTACAAATGGCTGATGTGTTGTTTGTTATGCTTAAGTTGGACGGTACATGGTTGTCTGACTATACATTTTCAAGTTTGGATACATTTGGTATTCATATTGGACTTCATTCTTCCTACACGAGCTTGCTTGATCTGCTGCGTGGAATCTTAAATCAGTACAGACCAAATCATTCATTCAGGATTTCTTATATGGTTGATGGTTGCCCCCCTCCTGTTTTTATTGTTGATGATGAAACTTTGAAATTCTATCTTTATATGAAGTGTTTGCAGTCGGATGTTGCAAAGTTACCACTCTGTGTGGAGTTTAAGTCTGAAACTGTTTCTGTGCTTCATGATTTTGTACCACTTCATAACTCACTTGCACATGGTTCTACTACATCTTCATTGTCTTTGCATGTGAGTGACTCTGATTATAGTAATCAAGGGAATGGGTTGCATAGCAGTTTGGCTTCCATTGATGAAGAAGATGGGTTTTCCTCTTCCTCTGAAAGCAACATTTCATCCTCAACTGTTTTGCCTAATTTTTCTGGTGTTGGTTCCAAATCATTATCCTTATAGCCTGCCTCTGTTAACCACCCTGCTGACGTAATTAGTCATTATCATCCAACATGTGTTATGATTAATGCTATTTACACGAACAAGGCTGACTTACTTCATCATTTAAAGTTGTATGCCATCACCAACAGTTTCCAATTCAGAACTCTGACAGCAAGGAAGAAAGAATTACACATTATTTGTTTGGATCCGTCGTGTGAGTGGGCAGTTCATGCAGTCAGATTAGATGGTGTACAAATGTTTGAGATTAGAAGGTATGTTGTCATGCTAACTCATATCTAATATTTTTTTTGTTTCTCTCATTATTTTTTTTGTATTATGTGATAACATTTTGTTCTTTGTCTTCAATTGCATTTATGAACATTTACCTATTGTTATTGTTACAGGTTTGATGCTGTACACACTTGCTCTGTTGACTATAGGCAATTTAATAGTAGACAGGCAACATCTAGTGTTATTGCTAATCTTGTGGCACACAAATTTTTGGATGCTTCTGTTAAACCTTATACGCCAAAACAGATCAGGCATGATATGAATTTGGAATATGGGATTTCTATGTCGTACAAGAAAGCTTGGGAAGCACAGAAACGTGCAAAGGAAAGGCAGTTCGGATCTGATGCAGAGTCATACCAGAAGCTACCTTCAATGGCGTATGTACTTGAAGAAGCAAATCCAGATTCTACCATAAAACTTGTAACTGCTGCTGATGGTGCATTTCAGTATTTTTTCTTTTCACTAAAACCTTGGCGTGAAGCATGGGAGTTTTGTAGACCTGTACTGTTCTTAGATGGCTCGTTCATGAAGGCATATTACAAAGGTACTTTGCTTACGGCCTGTGCTCAAGATGCCAACAACCACATCGTTCCCTTGGCATTTGCAATCTGTGATTCTGAAACCAAAGCATCTTGGCTATGGTTTCTAAGCAGGTTGAGTGGTTCAATCTCTATGCGAAGTGATATGTATATAGTGTCTGATCGCCACAAAGGCTTAATCTCTGTTGGTACTGAAGTCTTCCCCCATGCTCTTCATGGCTTTTGTGTTGAACATCTGAGGCGTAATTTGATTTCAAAATTCAGAGGTGGTGCCAATGGTCTTGGATGGAAGTTTAAAGCTGCTTATTCAACAAACACTATGCAAGAACTTGAGGAATATTTGTCAATGTTGGACACAGAAGATGCTAGAATCCGACCTTGGTTAAGTAAAGTTGGTAACCATAGATGGGCTAAGTGTGTTGCTGGTCCACGCAGATATGGCATCATGACATCAAATTGTGCAGAATCGTTAAACAAAGTAAATGTTTGTGCTGGAGAGTATTCACTTTGTAAATTGGTTGATTTTTTACGTGAAAGAATGCAACAGTGGTTCACGAAAAGAAGTGAGGAAGCACTTAAAACATCCACTTTCTTGTCCCCCAAATGCGAGAACCACTTAGTTGTTGTGCAAGCTGAATCCACACGCATGCAGGTTTCAGTTTTTTTCCTGTTTCATTAATTGAGGTTGTAACTTATTGCCATAAGTGTTGTTATATTTCCGAATGTATCATTTTATTGCCATCTTTCAGTTTATGAATATGACTCTTTGCTTTTTTTTTTTCTTACATTCATTATTTCGTAACTGTATTTTTTATATGCTTTCTATCAGGTGAAATCAACTTTATATTTCGAGTTTGAAGTTGTGGATCGCTATTGTAGATCTTTTGTTGTTAACCTCAACCACAAGACTTGTACCTGTGGCAGTTTTCAATGGGAACAATTTGTGTGTGCTCATGCAGTTGCTGCTATTCGTGTGCGCCCCCGTTTATCTTGCTATGACTTCATCTCACCATTCTATTCACGTGATTCATGGCTTTCGACTTGGAGTGCTGCTGTACATCCCATTGTTGATCCACAATCATGGTTGGTTCCTCAACATGTTCGTGATCAGATTTGCAAGCCGCCAAGTTGTCTCAAAAGACCTGCTGGACGTCCTAAGAAGACCAGAATTCCTTCTGTTGGGGAGTTTCGTGGATCTGGATCTAAACGACAAAAGTGCTCTCGCTGCCATATTCTTGGGCATAATAAAAAATCATGTCGCAATCCTATCCCTATTTCTATGCAGTGATTATATGTGTTTCTGTTTTTTACTTCCAGTATTTGCTTAACCCTTCATATACTGTGACACCGCACCCGAACGTCCTTGAAAATTCGATTTAAAAATTTAACATTTATGTATTGAATTTCCGATTTCAAAACAATGGAAGAAACGATTAATATTTTACGAAGTACATGATTGAATATTGTATTGTTCAAACCCGTATTCTTTTGTAATATCCATCAAGTAAATTATTGGGATGAG